AAAGTGCATAAAGTTAGTGAAGTGAAGTTAGAAATGAATCAAGAGGTATCTACAGTGAGATGTGTTTATAAATATGTCATTTATAGATATGCAATAGTTGTGTTATGTATTTTAAAATATATGGTGAGCAGTAATAGATGAAAACAAACAAATATATTGTTCTATAGTGCAGTGGAGTTTTGAATGAACCTACTGATATCCACAGTAAACTGTATTTATAAATATTATGGATATGTAGTAATTTTGTTAAGTGTATATATATATATATATATATATATATATATATATATATATATATATAAGGTAAAACATAATAGAAGAATACAAATAAATGTGTTTCTGTGAAGAGATTTTTTTAGTTTACCCCACTCTTTCTTTATAATCAAACACTAATGGTCATTTCTGTGTGTATTATTAAATACAGATTTATATCATCTGAATGTATATAAAGGTTGTACTGTCATACATATAGGATTCTTTCATTTCATAAGCAATATATTATTTTATACGTTTTTTTCATTATAAATTACAGAATTTAGTTTGATTATTTATCGCTAATCTCTCAAAAGTGTATATAGTGACTGAAGTGAAGTTTGAAATGAATCTAGAGGTATCAACAGTGAAATGTGTTTATAAATATGTCGTTTATAGATATGTAATAGTTGTGTTATGTATTTTTAAATATATGGTAAACCATAATAGATGAAAACAAGCAAATATATTTCTCTAAAGTGCAGTGGAGTTTTGAATGAACCTAGTGACATCCACAGTGAACTATATTTATAAATATTATGGATATGTAATAATTTTGTTATGTATTTACATATATGGTTAAACATAATAGAAGAATATAAATAAATGTGTTTCTGAGAAGAAATGTTTTTTTGTTTACTCCATTCTTTCTTCATAATCAAACACTGAGACTCATTTCTGTAGGTATTATTGAATACAGAATTATATCATCTGAATGTATACCTGATTCAAAGCATAACTGTTTGCTAAATTATTTTTCAAATGATCATGGTAAGTTTTCACAATTTTCTGTCTATCTAAGTATAATAACTCATTCTTGGTTTTCTCATTCAATGTTCTTTTAAATTTTGACACTGGTGTTCAGTTAAAATCTTTTGATAGTTGAAATCTGTTCATTTCGAAAATTATGTATTATACATCTTGTGATAATTGTTAATACTTTTGAATATTTTGATTCACTGTGGTTTATATCATGAAACAAATTATAAGGATTCAATTATTATTTTATAGTGAAATGCAACTCTTAATGCCAACTTTTCGGTCTTCATCAAGGATGAAATTAAATAAGAGATATATAAATGTATATAGTATAGAAAAGCATATAGTATAAATTACAAAAAGATAATTAATGCAAGGAAATTAAGGACAAAAGGAGCAGTAAGAATATAAATAATAATAGAGATACATAGTTTTTACTTTATTTATATTCTCATCGCTTAATTTATCGTTATTTACTTCTATTATTTTTCTTTTTGAATCAAAGAAAAGGAAGGCAGAAAAACTAACAGTCTGAGGTTAAATTTTTAATTTTATTTTTTGTGATATATTTGTTTATTTATTATACATTTTACAAGATTACAAACAGCATTTAAGAGAAATGAAAATAACCATTCATATTACACTACATTTATCTCATTTATAATATATATATTCAATAAATAAAGAATACAAGTACGTAAGTTAAATTCATATACATAAGATACAGGACTGAAGATCAGCCGCTGGGTGATTCTCTTCATCATGCCCTGTTTATTCCATAGTACTGTATTACTGTAATCTAATTTGCTGGTTGTCGGTGAACACTGACAGTTGTGAACTAAGGAATAAAGAGAAAAAAATGGATACATAAAAACAAAATAATTAATTAGAGTTATGGCATTTATTGCACTGTTAAGTCAATGTTTAGTTTATAAAACTAATACTTTAAATTTACACGCTAGGTCATATACAATAGCAAAACCAATGAATTAATTTATGTATCTTTAAGATATAACAAAATTCATGTTTCTTTTTAATTATATAATGATCTTCTGTGTTTGTTGAACAAAAAAAAAAGATCCTTGCTCGTTGTTTACGATATTTCTGCTTATGATGAAAAGTTCATTAATCATCCAACATACACAATCCATCTAAGAGATCTTGAATCCTAAAAAAGTTGATTTGTTCAACAGTGATGAATATTCTACTTAAAAATTTATAATAACTAGAAAACTAATCCCTAAAATATAAAGAAAGCTGTGGATAACTAACTTTATGCTTTTAATTGAAACAATAAAATGGAAAATTGTAATACAAAAATTACAATAATAACAGTTTATTGAATAAAAATTCTATGAAGTATTAACTAAATGCAAATAAGCATTAGAAATTATGTAAAAGAGGACTAAACTTAGTTAAATATCTCAGATCACTGTGTATGATGATATTACATCTAAAAGTACATTGTATGGATCACAATTTCTGTTTTAATACACCTCAGATTGTGATTGTATAACTGTTAAAAGATAAGGCTTATTTCATATAAATGACTATTCTTTTTGGCTAACCCAATAAAAATATCTTGACTGAAAGTTCTGAAAATTTTGTTACTTCCATATAATTGATCAGTTGACTATTTAACCATCTCTATAAGTTATCCTATTTGTTTTCAATGAACAGAGTAGTGGAAACTATAGTTTTTTTTTGTTGTCTACAAAAGACTTTTTAAAAATTTATTGTTGTATAAAACAGCATTGAGCCCATTACAAGATCCATTAGACTTACTTTAAAAGAAAAAGTGGGTTAGCAAAAAAGTTTTCTATTTGAAAGAAGATTTGTTTTAATATAAATATGAAAAATAAAATAATATATTTAAAAAATGGTATATTTGGGATGAGGGCATATTAGCCCGAAATACTATCTGATGTGATAAATAAGTAAATAAATGAAGTTTTAAAAGGTGTGAAATTGTTTCTTTGATAATCTATACATCAATAAATTTTTATTTGTATTCCTTGTCCTCATAGTTCACAAATTGTTTTACCAACACAATGTAATGGATAAAACATATTAAAACCATCCTACCCTACCTCATCTTAAAAATTGGGGAATCACTAAAATTTTTGTGATTTTCATTTTTATAGGTATTAAACCCATAACAGCTCTGCAAATTTAAAAATGATGACCATTAAACAAAACATAATTGTAATGTTAAACAATGAGTAAATTTTCCATAAGAAAAGGTCATGAAAATTTCTATTATTTTTTGTAAGTAATATTTTTTTTAAGTTATAGCATAATGCCATTTAATGAAATGTACAAAATTCACAAATTATTATTGCGTGAAAACTCTCTCCCTTGAAATTTAATGATCTATTTATTACAAAATGGAAGTGGGGTAGCCTTGTGGGTAGTGTTGTGTATTCTAGAACCTGATTCTAGAACTGAACAGAAAGAACCTGATTGAGAACCTAGTGTTACTCACTCAGTTAACATTAAAAAAGTGAGTTAATGACGATGATGTAGAGATGGTTGACCGTTGATATAATATGAGAAGATTTGATATAATATGATTGAATGGTCAAATTATTATTTGACCACACCCCCCCCCCCCCGATCAACGTGAATTAATGACATTTAAGCAATAAAGTAGATGGTGAGAGGACAGCACTTTCCATATTTGTTTCAAGAACATAGTGAAGAATCATTGCCTGTTTATTAGGCTCTTCATCTCATCAATGGCTGGAAATGCGTTTTTCGGACTCAGAGGGCTCTGAAACACGAAGATCCGTCGAAAACAACACATTGGAAATTTACCCCGATCGCCAATACTTTCCTTACCTAGTAGCACTAACGGATCCAGGATTGAATTTTGGGGGAAGCTTCAGCTCGAAAGATTTTTTTTTGTATAAATATATTAGGATAATTTCTTCGGAAGAAATTAAGAAACTAACTACCTATATGAAATGGTCTTTGAGTGATTCTTTAAGTCCTATTAACTGTAATTACACGAACAAACAATAATACTTTACCAAATAGTAGTTAATAATTTACCATTTTGGGGGCCTTCAGCCCGAAAGCCTAGATGAAGGCTTCAACCCTTTGTAAATTAGATGAAATTTACTTCAAATGAACATAGAGTATATGATTGTTAAAAGCATTTACAGAGGATTTTTGAGCGGCTAAACTAAGCTAAGTTTTGTTTTTAGAAAAATCATAAATTATTCGCCTTTTTTTTATATAATCAACCAACAATACTACTATTACCCCACCTTTACAAAAACTTCTTTGTTTAATAAGCTTTAAATGTGTATTAATTAAGTTGAGGTTTTTTAGGATAATGCTTAAGATTCAGCTCAAGTTTTGTAAAAAAAAAATGATATTTTTTATCCTGCCAAGTAAAATTACACGTTTTCAGCAAAAATGACTACAATTAATTGTTGCAAAGTTTTTATTTCTTTTTTTTTTTATGATCTGGAATGTATTTTAATAAATCCAATTGCTTAAACACACATTTTATTTATAATAAACATTAATTCAAAGAACATACTGATTTTTCAAATATTTTTTCTGTTAAATCGTCTATAAACTGTGTTTTACATCTAGATCTTTATCATAAAAATTGACTTGTATTTATAAGTGACAAATTAAATGTTGCTGATCCTAATATTAAAGTTTCCATTAAAATAATTGAAGCAATCAGCAATGTTAGTGTAACGTAGATTTTAAGACTAGAAACTTTTATTTTGTCACTCATAAATACAGATAAACTCCTATAATAGAGATCTGGGTGAAAACCACAGTTTACAACCAATTAATCTGAAAAATCAGTATTATTCTAATATTGGGTTTATTATAATATATCCCAGATCATGGAAAACAGGAAATAAAAGCTTCACAACTAATTTCAGTCATTTCAGCTGAAAACAAAGTTACTTTTACTTGACAAGATAAAAAATATTATTTTATTTACACAATTTGAGCTTAATCTCAAGTTTCTCCCCAATAAACCTCAACTTAATTAAAAAAGACTTAGAGATTATTAAACAAAGAAGTTTTTGTAAAAGTGGGGAAACAGTAGTATAGTTGGATGACGATAAAACAAAATCACGAATAGTTCATGATTTTTTTAAAAACAGAACTTAGCTTAGTTTAGTCGCTCAAAAATCCTCTGTAAATGATTTTAACAATGATAAACTCTATTTTAATTTTAAGTGAATTTCATCTTGTTTCTAATGAAGCAATTATTAATCACTTAAATTAAATATTCTTTTAGTTATTGCTTCCGATTCAATAAAAAACATGACTCACCTTAGATTTCCTATTTTTCTGCTGAAAATTGGCCCATTGTTTATATTAAATTTTTTGTAGCTTTTTAGGTCTACTATCACTCACTGTGTTTCTGCGACTGATTTGAGCTAAATACTAAACCAATTACAATATGTTGACTCTTTTTATATTAAAGCTACTAAATGTACACAAGTGTTAAGAAAAATACATAAAAACTTTATCCCTAAGTAATGTATTTTAACATAATATACTTTGAAATAAATATCTTCTCATGACATTACATCATTTTATCGACTGAATTAAAGTCAATATCTTTCTTTTTCTCCTCTCCCTCATCTTTCGGTTCTTCCAGCACCGAGATTTGAACTCGTAATCTTCGGTTTATCACATTGCAGGGCAATGGGTTTTTCATACTCAAGTACCCCACCCCTAAGATCAAAACAACCAAAAAACAGACATAAATATATTTACTTAAGCTAAAAAAATAAAAAATATCTGAAATTTGCTGCCATCTAAATTCTGTCGTCCTCTCCCTGCTAGAGAGATGTATTTTAGCTTCAATACTATGAGGCATACTATTCATTATTCTTCTTTCTAAAATAATTTTGTTTAGTTGATAATCCATTTTTCAAGGACTTCAATCATCAAGAGCAATATAAATTACAAAGTATTAATTACAGGTGATATCATTAATAACAATGTTTAATAATAAAAAAAGGTTTAGCAAACCCGAAGGTTCGATGACGACACCACCACTCGCTTATTACACAACTCCCTCCACCGTTCGCCGATTTTCCACCGTTAGAATGCTTGAAAGATTATCTCAATTTATAGAACTTTTGAGGACCATTTTTCGATTTAACTAGTGGTCAGAGACCATAGTATTGGTACCAATTTTTCATGTAATTAGTTATAAAATGTATTATTTAATAATACTGTTCAATTGGATTTCTTTAGCTTGAACAGGTAAAGTTCTCAAATTTGTTTTTTTCAAACTAAATTAGGTTTTCTCTAAGGATAAAAAAAATGTGTTATTGAGTCAATTATAAAATATATTATATGCTTGAGTGCATGGCTAACAAACGAAATTGCAAAATGTTATTTTTTCAGGAGAACAAAAAATCATTTTATTCCACACAGTATAAATACATCGTTTATTATAGTATTTAATTGAATCTTACCTTCATATAGCTTAAGAGATTTCACCTATAATACAGATTTCATAGTTTATCACAAAAGCATTTTTATTATTTTATCAAATATACGGTACAGTTTTCACACCAGAAACCATTGCTGATATTTTTATCACTGGGCTTTTCCTTTTTTTCAGTTTCGGTACTTAGCCATCCAGTAAAAAGTTTCGGTACTTAGCCATCCAGTAAAAAGTTTCGGTACTTAGCCATCCAGTAAAATAACTTAATACTATTTAATTATAACTTTTAAAAAAATACAGAGCAGTAACTGCCCATAATTAGAAATTGGAATAAATAAGGCACTACAAATCAGAAAAATTGGTATATATTTTGTTGACAAGAAAATGTTGATTTACAAATGGATCTAAATTGTAGGTTTTTAAAGACAAACAAGCTCTCGCACACATACATACAACATTTTACAATTCAGCTGTTTATGGCAAAAAAAGCTATGGTTTTTGTTTTTTGTTTTTTTTATTTGTTTTAAATTTTTTTTTTACATTTTTTTTTTCGTTTTTATTTCTGACAAGATATCGAGAGACAAACATATAAATTCAAACAATTCCGACCAAAAAAAAAAAAAAAAGGCCGGTCAAAGCAACAGTGTGTTATTAATTTTGTCTTTACAATATAACAAACAATTTTTTAATATATTTTTTCATGAAATACAATAATAACATAAATAAATGCATTTTATGAAAAGTAACAAAATCCATGGAATACATATAATGCCATGAGATAAAATAAATAAAATCTCGAAAGATCAATTAGCTTTCTAAGAAAAATAAAAAGGCATTTATGCCTGCTTCGAGCTGTCTTATAATACAACGAGTGCTCGAAACAGACAAAATAATAAAACTGACTGTACAAACCACCCTACATCGCGCTAAACAATATTCGGATCCACCTAGGATTTTAAAACAATCTGTAGCATACATTATACAAATGAAATAGTCATAGTTCATACACGTAATCAGCTGTAAGTATTTTTAAATAGAGGTAAATTTTTTTACTTTAAGAAAGAAATAGGTTTGTTGGTCTCTTTTTTCAAAAACAGCCTCTTCCTTTTAATTTTCCTTTTGGGTCAAGAGACTGTACAAAACACGTGACGCATAAATATGTTTTAGGATAACTTATGCGACGTTGGTATCACATTTCAGTGTTGACAAATAAAGTCATAACACACACAAATCGGTCACTTTACAAAACTGTACAGTAGGTACGGTCATTATTTTTTTTATTTTTATTTTTTTTTTGGTAACTTTTAATTTGTGCATACATATTGTTTTTTTTTTCTTCTTTTCTTTTTGTAAATTTTTCAGGCCTATAAAGATACATGATAAAGAAACGGTTCAGTGCACTATGGGCCAATAAGGTTAATAGATTTACATCAAATCAAAATGCAAGCTAATTTTTTTTTTCGTTATCTTTTCGCCCACAGTACAAAAAAGCATTCGTTTAATAATTATTTTTTTTCGAGTGTAATTCACTCGTAATCCATCCTACTTAAAAGACCCCACCCCGCCCTAAGTGTAAAAAAATGAATACCGATGATTCCAAAACGCCCCGTATCATTTATAAGTTAATTTTTCATCTTCTTTCTTTTTTGTCCAGAACGGGTGTTCCGTTTAAAAAACAGTTTGACGTATAAATGATATTTCGGGATCGGTGGCAGTTAATATATCCTATACTGTATAGTAATATGAAATTTAGGTAAAGCGAAGTCCTCGCAGTACCTCATTCAAACTAAATTATATTCTTTCAAATTTGACTGCAATATTGTATCCTTGACGGCAGCAAATACGAAACGAATATTCTCTGTATCTGTAACAAAAAAATAAAAACACAATGAATAAAAAACAAATAACAGATATATTAAAATTTAAAAAGCAACAGAAAAAAATTTGTTTATAAACATAATAAATTTAAACATGCTATGCACACTGACTGCTCACCAATGTGATTAATTATAGTTTGTTTGGATGCCATATAATTGCAGCTACGATTTTTTTTTATGAATAATATACATGAAATAGAGTTTATGATAATATATAATTTAATTGAAATATATTTTTAGACCAAAATATTGAAAAATACTATGGGCAGTCAATGTATTAAACAATCAATGTGGAAAATATATGAAATCCATGAACTTACAATACACACCTATATGAAAACCATTAAAATCACATTTGCTGAATAATAATTAATGAAGCCTATACAGCCAGTAAGACAGGTTTCTTGATGGCTGTAAATATTGTTGTTTAAAGCAGTTACAGTTTAAAAATTAGTTATAAATTCCAAAAACAATGATAATTTTAAAATTCCTTTAAAAAAATAAAATTCTCATTCCCATATAACAGAAAATTTTTGAAACTGTCTATTTAGATCAAGGTTATATTTGTAGGTTGACTTCTAAACTTCATTTTTTTTTCTTTCTCACTCTTTTGTAATTCTGCATTGAATAAACAACCAAAAAAGAAAAATAATCTAATTCAGAGGCAACCAAGGTTGCCTATTTGATATTAAGGTAATGGAACAATAAACCAATGAATAACCTATCTTACCAAACAATAATCATAATAAACAAACATAACCTAAAATAATGGCTAATCATCGGGATATCCTATTTTAAAATTATATTCTCATATAATTGTCTGCTTTAAATCTTTAATTAATTTTACATAAAACATTATATGAAATCAAATTATGAACAAAATAATTAACAAGAGATGTTTCAAATAGATAACAAGTAACAATATCATATAATATAACAGAAATAACAATAAACCATTCAATGGAGATCAAATGTTTATTTAAACATAAATATTAATTTTAATCTCTTTGTATTTATATTAAAAAAGAATAAAGTGTTTACTTTAGAGATATAAGTGAAAACATCAACAAGGCGAGATTAATAATATGAAATGCTGAACATTTTCCTAACTTACAGTATGCAGGTCTGATTTTTCAATTCATATCTTCCATAAAACTTATTATCATTTGGTTCTCAACACTATTTTTTCTCTCTTCCCCTCTCTAACACAGCTTAGCGTTGAAATACAATTTTGAAAATAGCTCATTACAAAGAGGATGACATAATGAATATTTCCCCGCAAACAATTGGCAGATCCAAGTTTTAGTTTTTGAGATATTTTAATCCATTTGCAAAAACACTTCAATTAGTCGACTCTAGCTAACTTTACCTGAGAGTTACACAACAGAAATCTGACGGCTCTAACTAATTCACTTTCCACAAAAAAGTGCAAAATGAAAGTTTTCACTTCAACAATCCAAAATAAGATTTCTAATGATGACTTCAGGAAATAACCATATTAATGAAATAAAAATTTCAAGTAATGTTTGTTACACATTTGTGAAATTTCAGCTCAAGAAATATAATAAAATGTATTCATAAGTATCTAATAAAATTTGCAATAATAAAATGAATGAAATATTTTGGGCAGATTGTTTTAATTTGTTCCCTTCTTCCTTTAAGGTATGAAAAAATAATGATTTTGTAAAACACATTGATTGATAAAAATTGAAATGCCATTCCTTCTTTCTACAGTAAAAGAGAGTTAGAATTACAAGACCACAACTGAAACTCCATTCAAAGAGAATAAAGACAAGATTCTAACTGATTATAGAAAAATCAATCTCAGATCCTAGCATTATAAAAGTTTGAAAGGTCTGCTGTTGAAGGTTAGGAAAATATTCCTCAGTTCATTAAAAAAAAAAGATTGATTTTTTTTCTTCAAATTTTGGCTAACGTTTTCTGGTAATATTGCCAGACTAAGTGTATGATTGAAAATAATTGTTAGGTATTATTAACGATTGTTGAAATTATTTAACGTTTCCCATCCTCTCCTAAAATTGGTGTACAGGAACTAGAGAGGTATTGCGTAGGCTATTTGAAGAAAAATTGAAATAAGCAGAAGGAAAAAAGTGAAGTCCCTCAGGTACTAGCTCAAACGCTGCTATCTGTGGTAGATACTATGAATCATATTTTCATGAAACATAAGTGTAATAAAAGAACCTTTTTTTGGTGGGTCAAAGTTAGGATACTTTATTTCCTTAAACTCATTAACTTTAGTCGAGGCATTTAAATAAATAATTATTGAACTATCACTAATAAAGGTAGTGAAACTTTATATTCATGTAGGATCTAGAATTGTCCTTAGAGTCCAAAATAGTTTCCTCTAATTCTTATGATCTTTTGAAACTTTAATTATTTTTTGTTATTGGCTTTTCTCTATGTGATGGTCATAACACCCAATAAAGTAGAACCAATTTTTATGAAATTGTCAGTGATTGTAAAGTATCAATTCTGATGTAACAGGTCTTCAATCACTGGTGGCTTCCCTGAGGTAGTTGCGGCCCCAATTAGTTTTTGTGTGATATTCATTAATGTAGCACTAAAATTTGATTATTTAGATTATGAAAATTTGAAATAGAGTTTAGATGAATAAGTGTAAATGGGTGTGTTTTTACTTATGAATAAAAATAGCAATAATGAAATATAAAAAATTATTGCAGCCTTCATTGTCACTGTCTAACCTAACCTTAAAGCGGCCTCTAATGATAAAATGGTTAGTCAACTATGTTCTAGATTTTCTTGAGTCAATTTTGTCAAATTCCATTCACTGTTTTCACTTATGCTATCATATGCGTACATTTAAAAATCTGGTGCGCACATCACACACATTTCACTTACCACCCACTTCTTAGCAGAAATAAGTATTTTCAAACAAAGGGGAAGTGAAAGTAAAAATTATTGACGCTATATTTACTTACAATTCATTGTGGGTATTTTTATTTGTTTAAAAACCCTTATATTTAAACAATTTTTCCTTTTTATTTCGCTGTATTCTATACAATTAAACATTAAATAATAGCAACGATAGGCATTTATGAAAACCGCATATGTATATGAACATAATATTGCCAGGGACCGTATTATATGAAGCTCACATTACGTATGAAAGCCTGTTGTAATCTTTCAGGTGAGCCAGGGCAAGCTCCTATCGTATTTGATTCATCAATTACAACTCTTATCTGTTACGATCCCTTATTTTCCCTTTAATTAATTATCAAATGCTTTCATATTTTATATTTAACTATTTTAAATAAAAAAATAATAAAGGTACTTTAGAGGAAGCCAATATTAAAGATTAGACATTTAAGCTCTGATAGAGAACATCAATGAGAATAAAACCTACATTATATTAAAAACTGCTTAATAATACACTGGTAAACTAAGATTAATCAAAATCGTTAGAGCAGTTTTTGAGAAAAATATTGCTGTAACATTGAAAGCTTATAAAAACCATAAATATGGAATTTCACTATCTTACGACTTTTTGTTTTTGAACTAGACTGATAACATACACACACACAGACCATTTTGCAGGATTTGGTTATTTTGACTCAGGGAACCTCAAAACGTATATTTCTGTTGAAAACTCAGATTCGAAAATTTTCACGATCCCAATACTTAGCCTTACTATATATTGCATATATAGGTGAGCGAAAGTAAAAAACAACTAATCACTTTTATAAGGGTGTTTAAATATATCTCAGAAATTAATTCACCAAAAAACCCTGACATTTCCTCAATTTTAAAATGATCATTAAATCTTATACTGAAATGTCAAATAATAATCAACTTAATTTGTTGATTTCCTGAATGAACAGATCATTAAAGTAATTGGTCCATTGATAAAATAGTTCAAATTAAAAACATTATAAGCTTATGCTTCAATTGACCAATTATGATTTAATTTTTTAAGGTGGCCAATTTTCTGCATTTAGGCATATTATCCTTTTAGATTTTGAAGGCCAATAAATTATTCATGCAATTTAAAGGGTTGTTTGTACAATATTAGGTTTCTTAGAGAACTAATTGATATTTTACTTCAATAATTACGACAATTTTTTTTTAATTAAAAATGTGATATTGGGCTAAGCTACGATGTTGTTATAGCATTTTGGAATTAATACCTACAAGGTAACTCAAACTTTCCTGATTCCTGACATCTTATTACTCCTAAACGTTTGTAAATCAGTTATACACAAACTTAAAATCTGCTATTAAAATGTTCAAAACGTAAGAACAAAGAAGGAATAAATTGAAAAATATCATTAAAAGAACCAGTGTATTTATACAGGGTACCTTAGTTCTTAATGATCATTGGGAGGGAGGTGTTTATAGGCAAAATTTTCATGTTGTCATATTTGGCTTTTCTTAAGGTGGTCACGTTTTCTCTTTCATAGAAATCGATAACACAAAAAACATTTAATTAAGATCATTTAAAATAGCTTTATAGTAAACTAAACAAAATTTCAAATATAACTAGAGTGTATCTTTTTCAAAACCATTTAAAATGAGCAGCCATACTACGCTAAGTTGTGTTTTTTAAAATTAAATTGTGAATATTAGAATGATGTTAAATTGTGAATATTTTTCATGTAAACATGAATATTAGGATTAGTAAAAATTTAGTAAATTACTTAATACCATAAGGATCAATTTCCACAATAGATATCTGTGTTTTAGGCCAAGGTTCATTATCACCTTAGTTAATAAATTTTGGAAAAGCAGTATTTTTTTAATGAAAAAGTGTGTTTTCATAATTAATTTACTAAAATAGATGCCAGGTCACAAGAAAAAGAATAAATTAAAAACATTACAATAATTTCTCGATTGTTAATTTTACTGAAAATACAGATACTCCAGCGTGACAGAATATCCAATCACATAATTTTTCACACAAATAGAGGTGAATCTCAACTCTATTCTAAAACTAATCTCAAATATTAAT